TAGGAAGTGCATCTCCTATTGGAATAACTCAAACTAGGAAGTGCATCTCCTAGGATTGGTTGAAAGACTTGGAGGGAATGTAACCAGGGGTTTGCCCCCTGTACAACTGGGAAAGAATGTAACCAGGGGTTGGTGCCCTGTACCACTAAGAGGGAATATAACAAGGGTTGGAGCCCTGTATCAGTGAGAAGGAATATAACCAGGGGTTGGCACCCTATATTACTAAGAGAGAATATGGCTCAGGATTGGCACCTTATATCGCTGAGAGAATGTAACCAATGGATGTCTCCTTGTATCACTAAGAGAGAAAGTAACCAGGGGATAGGATACCTTGTATTAAAATGGAACCTCGCTAAAGATGGTTGTACCTTATGTCGGAAAATACAGCTAGGGATTGGTGTACCCTATACTAAACATGCGGCTAGGGAGTGGTGTGCCCTATTTCAAAATGGAACCTCAACTAAGGAATGATGTACCTTATGCTGGAAAATGCAGTGGTTGATTATGTGATTATAGGCATATCTAGAAAGAAAAAGCAGAGAGTTTGAAGAACTTACCTTTGGTGACAATTCGTCCTTTGAGAACTTCAATTCTACACTGCTTTGTTTCCTGCTTCAAACAAAGAAATATTTGTGAGTTTAACAATGGTGGTCGGTTTGTGGCCTTGAACGCCCTGAGCAGTTTGAATCTGCGGCCACCTTGTTGTTAGAGAACTGATTTGCATGTATGGTACCAAACAGCTAGGAGGCTCTGTACCGTGTTCTAGAAACTTTGGCTTTCTACTGTTGCCTCCGGCTGTTTCATAACCGGATGTCTAAGGTGTTGCTGAACCTTGTCTATAAAGCAAGTCTTCACTTTGGTAGTTTTTTCCTTTAAAAATCAAACTTGATTATTTTGCACCCGATATTAGTTTGTGTCTGGGGTGCTATCAACTTTGCCCATGAAGCAAGTCTTGCTTAGCGACCTTTTCGATGTCTTCGAAACACTTTGTTCGGCTTATCAGAGGAAATCACAGTTGGATTTGTGCCTTTGTCAATGTCGCGTATGCCCCACATCCTTTATTTTGCACTTCTAGGAAACAACGACCAATTTTGTGGCCCTTTCTTTATTGGCTTCTAAACAAATAGACTAGCAAACTTTTGGAACTCTCGTTGGCATGAACCCTCAGGTCTCGTTTAGCTTCAACAAGCTTATTGTGCATGTTGCTTCCTGGGTATGTCCTCTTCGATGTGCCAGGATAGAACTCGCTTTGTACAATTAGAAAGCTGGTAACAGATGTTGAAATCATTTCTCGGTTGTTTTAACAAAGACTGACTCAAAAAATGAAAATGCAAATGGAGAAAATGACGCGATGTAAAAGTGAGAAGGAATAGTATTTAACTGAAAATGCCACTTTACGGGGAGAGAAAGAAAAAGGGGATCCTTTGAATATGGTAGCCAACTTTAATGATCATGATATGCTTTTTGGACTGAGCGGCCGAATCTATCCTTTCTTCTTGTTGTTCCTTTTCGTCTTTGAAGTTGGCCTCTTTATGCCAATCATTTGCATCAAAACACAGCTCACCTTCGACCAGTGGTGCCCTGAAAGGTTTTCACCAACCGGCCTCTCTCATTTATTATCTCTACTTACCATCGCCTTATAGTGCCCATGAGGGTTTTCACCAATAAGACTCTCTCATTTCCATTCATTATCTCTTCTTTGTTTTCGCCTTTTTGTGCGAGCAACTTGACATTGTTCTACGTTGTGTGACAACTGTTGCTTACTGCGTGTTTCCCTTGGCATTCTTAAGACTATTTGGAAGGCTTTTGGAGAGGGTTAGAAAGAAAAGGTCACAATAAGGCTCAAAATAGACTCAAGATGATAGGGTTGTATATTTACAACTCTTGGAATCGACTCTTCATAAAAACATTAAAAAAAAATTCTGCCCCAGTTTCAGATACTGGGGAATTTTTATTTTTGATTTGGTTAGACTGAACCCTAGTGTAGAGCTGCCTACGTATCCTTTAAAGGAATCAAGTCAAACGTAGTTCAAACTAACATGAGAGATTTCTTTGTTATTTTTCTATTCATTTTTTATTTTTCATTTTTCTTTTCTCTTTCCTTTTCTTCTCTTTTGATTGTTTTTTTTATAATCAGATTGTCCTAGCTCTTATCTTTCTGGTGGCATGGATCTTCATTTTTCTCTTTTTTTTTCTTTTTTTTTCTATACTTGATTCCAAAAGAAGGGGGGGTCAAAGAAAAATAAAACAGACTCAAAAGAGGTAACGAAGGGTATAAAGTGTTTGGGTAGCAGAAAAAGGGCCTTCCAGCCTCAAGAATGCCAAACATTCAATCTCTTCTCAGGTTCGGCATTGATGGACATGACTCTCTTCTTGGTTTTGTCAGTTGTATAGTTTCGTAGTCAATATCTTGTTCGCAACAAATGACTTTTGACAATTTGGAGTCACCTCTTCTTGGTCCTTATCCTGATGTAGAAGGGTGCACTTCGGTACCAGCTAATCATTTTAAATTCCCTGGGATGCACCTTCTTTGGGGATTTGGGTCATCTTCACTGATATGATCAGATTATGCATGCCATGGCAATATCTTTTTCGCTGATTAGTCCAACCAAACTTCAAAACTTTCAATTATCCTTAAACCAGTATTCATGACTATTTTGGTTCCGTGTGATCTTGACACAGGCTTATCATCAAAGTTTTTCAACCTCTTACTTGTCCTCCACGTGTTTTTTCCTCGATTCAATTCAAGATTGGACAAGCTTTTCTAAAATCTAGCCGAAAACTCCGCATGCATGTCATGCCACTAAAACTGGCGAGAAAAGAATTATATATGCAAGAAGAACTAAACACAATGGATTAAAATGACATAAAGAAAAAAAGTTGTATTTCATTGATTAAAGGATAGAGAGGCTTGATGACAGGACAAACAAACAACATCTGGATCACAACCTCGAAATAATCCGGATGATAGAAATTATGACAAAATAAGTTACCAAGACTCCTTCCCGGCAAGGAAGGAGTGACTTCCAATTATCAAGCTCAACATCTTAGCTACGAATTTGCACATCAGCATCAAACAAGATCTTCAACAATTTTGATTGCCTTGCATTCAGTGGACAGGTTCTTGACATTTTCCACTAAACCGTCTCCATATTCTTTATCATTGTAAATCATCCGAACAATGCGTGCTTGGTCATGACGTTTAGGGTGCCATTATTTTGGACCACGATCATTCCTTCTTGAATTATCTTTTCTATTTCTTTTTTCAAAGACCGACAACCCTTAATGCTATGTCCTTGGACATTAGAATGGTACATGCACTGTACAGCTGGGTCAAAAACTTTTGCATATGGATCAGGAACATACCCTTGAAGCGGCTCAATCATGCCACAACGTTTAAACCTTTCAAACAAACTTGTGTAGGATTCTATGTTTTGCTTGAAATTGTCCCTCTGCTTATGTTCCCTTTCATACTCTTGTTTTGGACGAGCGTTGTAGAGTGATTGAGAGTTCTGATGTCGCGGATGAAGGTATGTTAGAGTTGGGGTCTGAATATGTTGGCAATTGGATGGTTTGGCAAAAGACTAAGTTGCATACTGTGGAGCAACTGAGTATCGTGGATCCGGGGGTTGAGATGCTCCTTTTTGGCCTCTTTTTGCCCGTGATGCCATCATGGCCTCCTCATCTTTCTTCTTTTGGTTAACACAGCTATTCGGCCTATTCTGTATTTCTTTGGTGGCTGCTTGACTTATAATTCGGCCAGTATTGAGGCCGTTCTCGACCATTTCTCCTATCTTGATTGCATCAGCAAAAGGTCTGCCCATTGCAGCCATCATATTTTGAAAATAATCAGGATCCTGAGCCTGAAGGAAGACAGTGATTAACTCATGGTCATCCATGGGTGGTTTAACTCTGGATGCTTGCTCTCTCCACCTAACGGCATACTCCCTGAAGCTTTCAGTCGGCTTTTTCTTCATATTGGACAGGGAATTACGATCTGGCGCAATATCAATGTTGTACTGAAATTGTTTGACGAAAGTCTGGGCCATGTCGTCCCAAACATGCCAGTGAGAGATATCTCGGTCAATGAACCATTCGGAAGCTACCCCCATAAGGCTTTCCCCAAAGTAAGCCATCAGCAGCTCTTCCTTTCCTCCTGCACCCCTCAGCTGGTTGCAGTACCTTTTCAAGTGGGCGATAGGGTCGCCGTCTCCATTATATTTCTCAAATTTTGGGGTCTTGAACCCTCGTGGCAAATGGATGTGAGGGAACATGCATAGATTGCTGAATGAAACACTTTTGTGACCACCTAGTCCCTGTATGTTCTTTATATTTTGTTCAAGACTTTTCATTTTCCTGGCCATCTCTTCTGGCTCAATCGTCGTGGCAGGCTTTTCTTTTTCCACTGGTGACTCGTACTGTGGAGTCTGATTGTATGGAGCCGAGACCCTGAAAGCCATATTTGGAGAATAGTATTGGCCATCATAAGCATGAGATGGTGGCTCATTGTTTGGCCTCGTCACAGGAGGTGGTGGCGGGATTGTATATACCGGTGTGCCAGACACGACGAGAAGAGTGTTCCTGACTGGTGCGATTGGAGGTCGCATGTTAGAGGTACCGGGGGCAGCATGGAGGTTGTAGTTTGGCACATACCCTGGTGGTAGAATGTGGTCGCTCGTTGCATGGAGCGGTGTTTGCGTAGCCTGGGGTATGGTGGAAGTTCCCTCTGAAGGACCCTGGGGTGGAGGTCGACCGGAAACCCAAGCTTGATATACATCTGACAGTTGCTGTCTCAATTTTCTTATTTCCTCCGTCTCTTGCTCAACTGACTGACCCTGCGGATTTTCACTGACCAACTCGATTTCATCACTGTTATCCATTACCACCGCTCCCTTAGATCTTGTGTAGTAATGATGTGTTGCCAATTTCACCACAAACCAACCACCTTAAGCTTACTATATAAGAGGCAACAAACGTGTTAGGGTTAAGCATTTTACATATAGGAATCACACGTAGACATGCTATGCTCCTAAAATATCACCATCTCAAATATGCTTTTGCAAGGCTTCATGTTTCCTTCCAGCTTATCAGCTTGTTACTTATTGACCCTGTTATTTCCTCCTCTCTTTTTT